GTGGGCCTCGGGCACCCACCGTGGATGAGCCTGCGCTGGCCCTGGATGAGCTGCTCGCAGAGCAGGCGGTGCTGGTGGTAGCGCTGGATGATAAAGTCCTTCTGGCACAGCAGGTTCTTACGGTACAGGCTGTGCGCCTGCAGCGCGGTGTTCTCCACCTCCAGCTCATGCGCCCTGCACAGCAGCCGCAGCACCTCACGCTGGTCCTCACTGATGACCTGCCGGGGCAGCAGCTGCTCCATCTGCGAGGCCTTCTTCTTGGCGTTGGCCAGACGCTGCTCCAGCCCTGCCTGAGGAGAGACCACGAGGTAGGGTGGACCACCAGCCGGAGAGAAGACGCTCGGTGCTGGTCACCAGGGAACGCACCAGAGCCTCGGCCAGGTGCCCCTTCACCCCACAACCAACAACCAGCCAGGAGAACAGAAAACAGGTGCTGCTGAGGGCAAGAGCCCCTGGAGCCCCCAGTCACTGCTGCCATGGGTTCAGAGACAGCGGGACTCAAGCAGGGAAAGTGTTCTCATGTTACTGCAGCCAGAGGGCAAGCACAACCCAGTGTCCATCCCCACTAGAGGATGGAGTCCCACTCAGCCACAGAAAAGGATAGCACACGTGTCCATCAGCAGGTGGTCAAGACACAGAGTGTGGTCTGGCCACACAATGGAGTCCCTCTCAGCCACAGAGAGGGACAGCACACGTGTCCATCAGCAGATGGCACACAGTGTGGTCCATAACCACCCAGCTGTCATCAGCGCTGATCCGACCCTGTTTGTGTGCACTAGACGTCCACTCCGGGGTTTCCAAGTGACTTTTCTGAAGCAGATTGTGAGCCTCCCGAGGCATCTCTGGGTGAACTTGAACCTCTAATCTTTTGGTTAGGAGTGCGCATGTTACCCCTCGGCAGCACCTGGGGGCTCTGCTGGAAAACGGATGAGGGACACGCTCCAGCATGGTTGGGGTGCACAGCCCTGGCCCTCCTCCTCCTCCAGATCTCAGAGTGGCTCTGGGAGGGGCGGGCCCAGCGGCTTCTCCCAGCCCCCTTCAAGTCGCTGCCCCAGCATGACCTTCTCCCTCAGGTCCTCCTGGCGCCTTGTCCCCCAGAGGGCCGAGCCTCTCTCCGCTGCATCCTGGGGCTGGCCTGGGCCTGACACCGAAAACATGGGTTTGTTTTAACTCACTAATGCAAAGATGCGTCACATGTGTGCGACTCTACGTGTTGTCCGGTGTCGCTGACTTCCAGCGACCCCAGCACATCATCCACATGGTCATTGCCATGTCTGGACCTGTTGTCCCAGCTGGACTCTCCTGTGCTGACCCTCAACTTCACCAAGCATGATGTCCTTCTCCCGAGACCGGCCCCTCCCGAGCACGTGGTCGAGTCTGAGAGGAAGTGTCCCTACCCCCGCCCCTCAGGGGCACCCTGGCGGCACCAGCTCCAGCGAGGCCACGCTCTTGCTCCTGCCACTGGTCTGTGCAAAACCCACTTCTCTCTTTCAAGAGTCAGGAAGCTGTGAGGGCGGAAGCGTTTGTCCGCAAGCAGAGCGACCGGCTCCCTCGGCTTCTCCATCCAGGCAAGTCCTGCCTTTTCTGAAGTGAAACAATTAGGTAACTAGCTATTCAAGAAAGAAAGATGACGTGGCTGGCCAGCTCCTCCCTAAGGAGGTGTGGGCAGGGCTTCCACCTGGGTCCGCACACTTGTGTGCATGTGTGCAAGCGCGCGCGCACACACACACACCAAGGGACTGCAGGGCACGCGCATGGCAGGGGACAGGAGACATGCTGGAGGGTAGCGCTGGCCTCCGCACAATCTCTCACATGTGTTGTAAATTCTGGCCTCTGATACTAGTGAGGCAGGACCAGAGTGGGCTCTGTGAAGACATGATCAGCCCCAGTGACGTCCCCCAGGCGTATGTCCTGCAGTGTGTCCCGAGGGACTCTGGCAACACTAGAGACCATGTGTCCAAACCTGACATCCAGCCATCTGGCTGTGGCCTCCAGACTTGAAACGTGGCCTGCCAGCCACCTGTGACTCTGCTCCCCAGCAGTGACCTTTGGGCATGTCCTTCTCCGTAGCCAGCAGCCTGAGGCCTTCCCTGTGGATGACCTGGACTCCCCAGCCACCCCAGACGCCTCTCTCCTGAGGTCTGACCACAGTTCCAGGACTTAACCAGGCTCCACAGCATGTGAACCAGTGCCTGCCCCGTGCCCTGACCCTACGGCCCTGGGCTCGGCTATGGCTAACACCAGGTCTTGACCCAGGGAAGTGGATAGTTCATCCGCCTGCTCTTTTCCTTGGTTTCCTCATCTATAAGATGAACATGACCCATGGGCCTCAGCCTCCACGCCGTGACCAGGAGGACGGTGTTGGCCAGCTGCCAAGACCAAGTACCAGGAGAGAGGTGGCATTAGAAGGGCCTGGACGGGGCAGGCAGGTGGAAATGTGTAACAAAGCTCAGAGTCCAAAAAGACAAGGCTTCCTGGTCAGAGACTGGGGGACCCCTGGGATTGGGACCCTTGGCCCCCACAGGCCTGGACCTGAACTCATCCTGAGGCCCAAAGTGAGCAGCATGTATCTCTGAGTGAGGGAGACGGTCTGTGACCACCTGAAAACCAAAAGGCCGCTGGTTCAAACCCACCCCGTGTCCCCTCGGAAGAACTAGGCCTGGCGATCGGCCTCTATCAATACAACAGCAGCCCTGTCCTTGCATCCAGTAGACAGGTCCGCCCACTGACCACACAAACATGCATGAACTAGTGTGCAGAGTGAACGTCACCAGTGAGGTCCACGCTCCTCAGAACAATCGACCACGCGAGACTGCCGCTCCGCAGACAGGGAGCGTGGATGTAAATGGGGCCCTGGGGAGGAGCTGGGAGAGTGTGACACACTGTGGCATCGTGTGGACTGTCATCAACACCACAAAGGAACTGTCAGAACAGCTGACTAGGACACCCTGAGCTCCATGAGCCTCACCGACTCACAGAAACCTTCAGATGGGAAAGCGGCCAGGCACGGCCTTCCACCGGAGTTACGAGGCTCAGGGACCACAGGCGGCCCGCACCCCGTCACCGCCGAGGCCCCCACCTTGAGGGCAGCTGTCCTCCGCTGCTCAGCCAGAAGCATGTTGATCTCCTCCCGGGCCAGGGCCACCTCGTGGGGCTCCACAGCCTCGCTCTCCTCGCCCTCCACGTCGGCCTCTGGCTCCTCGCCCCCGGCCGACCCCTGCTGCTCCCTGGGGTGGGTCTTCTCTCGCTCCCAGCTGGGGACACAGAGCGGTCAGGATGCCAGTAAGCCCCGGAGTGGACATGCCGCACCTCGGGCCCTGCCAGCGCCCCTGCCGGCGTGGGGACGGGAGGGACAGGCTGGTACACAGCACCATCTCTTCTCCATTCAGGGACCTCTGGTGACTTAGTGGTAAGGAGTTGCACTGCAAACCTAAAGGCACGCAGTTCAAATCCACCAGCTGCTCCATAGGAGAAAGATGGGCAATGCCCCAATTTACTGCCTCTGAAAACCTGCTGAAGGCTCAGGATTAGTCGGCTCTGACTCTGGTATGCAGCAACAACGGCTGTGCTAACCTCAGACAAGGGCATGGAAGGGGCAGGGCTGGTGGTCCATTGAAGAGAAACTCCACTGTGCAAACCCAAGGTCCACAGCTCTGAGACCCCAACTAGACGGTGCCCACTACCACTGCTGACCACCCGAAAGGGACCCAGCAGGAGAAGAATCTGGAAAGTAACTAACAATGATAAAAAGCCATCATCCTGGATGGACAGAGATGGGCAGAAGCTCCAGAGAAGGTGGCTTAACTCATGGTTAACCTGAACCTGGGCTTAACCTCCTGACTGAACTTCTGAAGGACAGACAGACCTACAAGGAGGTCAGTGACAGCGGGGGAGTGCTCACTCTCAGCATGACCCACTGTGCCAGATCGAAAGGGCAGCAAAGGCCCGGAAGGCAGAGGGCAGCAGGGTGAGCGGAGGGGCCACCAGGAGGGGTAGGAAGTGCACTGCTGTGTCGTAAACCTGCGTCGATATCACACGCATGGCGCATTAATAAACAGTCAACCGATTTGCTCTCTAAACCTTCACCTAAATCACAATTTAAAAATTTTTTCCAAAAGTCATTTTTCTGCAGAGTAAAGAGAACCTTCGCCCTGGAACTGATGCCCTAAAAGCCCACTTCTGCCGCCTTCACTGTGAGGAGTCCTGTCACTGAAATTGCCCGTCTGCGGGTAAGCTCACAGACGAGGGCCCTGGGCAGCCCGCATTTGCTCTGAGCCTCAATCTCCTCTTCTGTAAAATGGGTTGGACCAGCCCCAATCAGCTCCACACTTGGCCCAGCTTAGCGGCAGGGGCAGGAGTCCTGCCTGGGCAGAGGGCGGCCTCACTAGAGTCCTTAAGGAACATACAGGCAGGAGGGGGTGGCAGGGCAGTATCAGCAGAAGCCCCTCCTCCCACAAGTAGCCCCTGTGGTCCTCACTGGCCTCCCTCTTGTTGGCATGGACAGCGCTGGGCATACTCACTCCGCAATGGTCAGCAGATGGCGTGAGGTATCGATGTGCAGCTCAATGTTGGTGTTCTCCAGCTCCACCAGGCTGCGCCGCATTTCCATCTGCTCCCTGAAGGCCCCGATGAGCTGGGCTCGGATCTTGTTCATCTGCAGGCGGCTCTCCTCCTCGGCGTCATGTGAGGGCGCCATGACTGTGAGGAGAGGGGGGGCTGCATCAGGACCAGAGCCGTCCAAGCCAGCACTGAATGCCGAGTTTGCCCAGCAAAGTGACAGGGCCAAAGGAAGACCTCAATGAACACAAATGAGTGGACAGATGGATAGACGGATAGACGGGTGGATGTGTGGAGGGACTGATGAACTTGTGAGTGAATGAATAGATGCATGTGTGGATAGATGGATCGTTGGGTTAAGTGGATGGATGGGTGAATGGATGGATGGACGGAGGAATGGATTTGTGGGTGGATGGATAGATGATGTGTGGGTGGATAGATAGGAGGGTTAAGTGGATGGAAGGGTGAGTGGATGAATAGATGGATGGATGGATAGGAGTTGGAAAGAGGTGGGAAGGCAGATGGGTGAGTGGATGCAGGGATGGTTGGGTAGATGCATGAAAGGATGGGCATATACATTCTACTCTCTATGACAGAGGCAAGATTGACGAGACTTCGCCTCATATATTTTGGGCTGTTCCTTGGAGAGGGAGATGATGTTGAGAAGCGTGGAGGGTTGGCAGAGGAGAGAAAGACCCTCAGCCAGGTGGACTGACATGGTGACTGCTGCAATGGGCTCCTGTGTGTCGGGAAGTGTGACTATGGGACAGAATAGGGTCGCTGTGAGTCATACTCAACTTAACAGCACCCAACAACAACAACAACAACATGATGTTAATAAGGAAAGATTACAAGTATATCTGTAAAGATATAACTGGCCTTACCTAGTTAGATGTGGAGGGCGGCAGGTGTCCTGAATAGGTAGGCACAGGTGTGGGAATGGCAGGTGTTAAGATGGAGGCACAGGTGTGGGGGGTGGGGGTGGAGTGGCAGGTGTCCTGAATAGGTAGGCACAGGTGTGGGAGTGGCAGGTGTTGGGATGGAGGCACAGGTGTGGGGGTGGGGGATGGAGTGGCAGGTGTCCTGGATGGAGAGCCACAGGTGTGGGAATGGCAGGTGTTGGGATGGAGGCACAGGTGTGGGGGTGGGGGGTGGAGTGGCAGGTGTCCCGGATGGAGAGGCACAGGTGTGGGAGTGGCAGGTGTTGGGATGGAGGCACAGGTGTGGCAAAGCAGTACCTTGGGCATCACGGGCATCTGGCTCGTTCCTCTTTTCCTTCTCCTGCCTCTCGATTTTTGACTTGAGGTGCTCAATCTCCCCTCGCAGGTGGGAGATGACGTCCGTATACTGGGCGATGTGGTAGGAGACACTGAGCAGATTGCGCTTCACCTGTGGGCAGGAAACGGCCGAAGTCAGATCTGGTCTGATCTGCCCACAAGGAGGTGGTTTAAAAAGGCTTCCCGCCAGGAGCATGCAAACGCTCCTTACAAACATTCAGGTGATGGTCTGTCCGGATTAAGGACCCTCCCAATCCTCTGACCCCCTGCTCTCTCCCCATGCTCACACACAGGTAAGCACTCTCCCTGCGAAGGAGACCTTGATAGGAAAGCAGGTCCCTGCTGTGGTAATTAAGGATCTGGGCCAAGCTCCCTCTGATTATAGAGCCCTCAGTTCAGGGAAGAGAAGGAACAAGGAGAGGGAAGAACACGTGAGGGGCGGGGCAGAGCCCTGGTCACGTGGCCTCAAGGCAGTCTGCAGCCACCAGAGCTGAAAGTAAAAGGAGGGTGCCTCCCC